TCAAATTTCAGTGAGGTCACTCATTTTGAAGCGTTTGAGAAAACTACTGAAATTTTAAAAATCCCTATGTGAGGAGTTATATGAGTTTATTTTACGCTGGGTTCTAATTTCAGTCAAGACAGCAAATGCATTTTCGGACGATGCTGCAGCCCTCCCAGCCTGCTTACACCCTTCTTCTCCGAATGTAAGGCCAGTGTTGAATCATATCCTGCAGTTTTCTCCAAGGTTATTAATGGATTAAGGAGCAAATTACTCGAATAACCACTAAACCTTTTGAATAGTCAAAGTTTGACCATTCAACTATTAATAGTATATTTTTACTTACTGAATTATCAAAGTACAAATTTTGCATTATTTCATCTGATTTTACCATCAATTTTGTCAAATCTAAGGATTTACACGATTCACGAGATATACTATTAATAGTTAGATATGACAAATTAACTAAACCTTTTGAATAGTCAAAGTTTGACCATTCAACTATTAATAGTATGTTTTTACTTACTGAATTATCAAAGTACAAATTTTGCATTATTTCATCTGATTTTACCATCAATTTTGTCAAATCTAAGGATTTACACGATTCACGAGATATACTATTAATAGTTAGATATGACAAATTAACGGTGAAATTAAATGAAATGGCCTAAACTTTATATTTTTGATACTTTAGTAGGTACAAATATACTATTAATACTTAAGTAGCCAATACTTTAGTTGTTGTAATCATTTATGAATGGATTGAAAATTGTGTTTTCAAAAAGCCCAAAAAGACAAACGAAAAGAAAAAAGGGGGAATTCTGTCAAGACACTCAAAAGCCCAAAGTCTTCCACAAATGGACTAAAAGACCTTTCTCTGGCACGTTAATCAGACCAGAAAATAATTGCTTATCAGTATAAATATCACCCCATCAAGATAAATATTTTGAAAGTTGAAAGATCAACTATGATCCAACAATTGGTAATTGTAAAAGTATCATATTCAAGAATCAGAAAGTTGGATATATGACCTTTGTAAATTGTAATCAAACCAGAAAAGATGCAGCACAAAACGATTCCAAAACACAAAGCACGCAACCAGTGACAACCCTACACTCCCGCTTCAACATACAACCAGAGAATCAAGCACACCCCCGAGCTAGTTTAAATCCACAAGAAAACATTCATCACCAACAAAAATCTAAATCAGATAAAATTTGGTTGCGAGCAATCCCTCTACAATTTCTATTATCAGAAAAATAGGACCTCCTAAAATCCAGACCTGCTCTGATTCTTCATAGACAACTCTTTACAGGCAATCTTAACGGAGCCCTCAAAACAACCCAATGAAACTTGAGAATCAAAAATTGCATAGACAATAGAGATCTTGGTTCTTCATCCTACCTTGTGGTTTCGATTCTCACAGCCTCTATCTCCGTCCCACCTCTCCCCTTTACTTGAAAAGAAAAAATCTCAAAGAAAATACAAAACTTCATGAAATCCCATTACAAGAAGACTATTGCACACTATAATCATCCCAAGAAACATAATTTCCATCCCAGACGATCCTATGCCTAAAAGATATAATAAAAATGCTGTACAGTATCTAGACATTCCTTCTAACATTTCCAACATAAAATTGTATGATAAATTAACATTTCCCAACAAAATTAATGTAAAAAGTGCAAAATGTGGGATTAACCAAATTTAGACCATAATAGTAACAGTATCCAGATAAGCAATTCAACAGAACAAAATTCGAATCCTCAAAGTATTCCAACATTTATCTAAACCCAAAATTAGTATCCAAAACTTAAACTAAATCGAGATTTAAATCAATCTAAGCAGTAAGCAATACAGCACCACCGGCCTCCTTAATTTTCTTCTCAGCAGTCTTAGAAACAAGCTTAGCCTTAACTACCACAGGTTGATTCTCCGGCAAGACTCCTTTACCCAAAACCTTAAAATACCCAAACTGGGTGACGTCAATCAGAGGCGCATTTCCTGATTTACCCTCGGAGACCGCTTTTTCTTTCAGGTCGGATGGGACAAGTGACCAGAGCTTATCGATGTTGACGATCGGACAATGGAATTTATTACGGAGCTTGTGAAAATACCTCATTCCGACCTTGCCGAAGTATCCAGGGTGGTATTTGTCGAAGAGGATTCGATGGTGGTGCATTCCTCCGGCGTTTCCTCGTCCTCCTGGGTGTTTGCGGTGTTTCCCGATACGGCCGTGGCCGGCGCTCACGTGGCCCCTGCTCTTCCTGGTCTTCTTGAATCGAGTCGTCATTGTTGGCAGGTGGACGGCGGCGGGGGAAGGGCAGGAAGAGTTAGGGTTTTGCTATATTTAAAGGTGAAGAATTGGAAGGTGGGACGGGGATTTTAGTGTGGTGTTACAAAATTACCCTTATACTTGAAGAAAATTACATTTAGGGTACTGTAACCTTTTTTTTTTTTTTTTTTTTTTTTTTTTTTTTTTTTTCTGGCCCTGCTTTGCACGATTTAGGATCTCCATTGCAAATTTGCAATCGTGATCGGGTTGGTCTGAGTCATTCAATTGAAGTTTACGTCCGACCGAAGGTATAGATTTTTTTAAAAAAAATCTTTATGGCAAATTAGGGAAATTAATTATATTAGTGTTTGAGACACGCCCTAACATGTGCGCAATTAATAAAAAACATATTTATGAAAATTATTTTTTATTGGTTAAGTTATTTTATAATGTAGATAATTGTATAAAAAGATAATAATATAAGTTGAGCAGAATACGTGGAGTAGGAGTGAGAAGTTAGTGTGAAAAAGTGAATAATTTTTACAAATAATTTATGTAAATAGCTCTTTCCTAATTGTGGGAAAGGTTTTTTAATATATTGGACAAATTACCCTTATCATTGAGGGTGAATTATAAATTTTAAAAAAATAATGCTATGTGTTTACACTACACAGTAATGTTCAGGCCGTTGTACCTGAAATCGCCCCAACCTCTAATACATACGTATAATTTGGATGTATATATAATTCCATAGCTTGATAATCGACTCCTTTAAGTTTCAAGAGTGAGGTAAAAATATAAAATTTTTTGCAATATGGCTATTTATTTTTTAATTTTTTTGGGGACAGCTTTGCAATTGGACTATTCAGGAACATAAATATATTTTTCATTGTCATATAGTAGTTGGTTATAATTTGAAATATATAATCAAGACATTACATACTTTCACATGATTTAGGATGAACATGACTATACACTTGATTAATTCGCAGAGTACTTGATAAAATTAGTATAAAACTGTAATATTTTTATACAGAGTTAAAAGGTTGGAAACAAAATGGACAAGCTGAAAGCTAGGAGCTCAGCCATTTCTCCGTCCAAGGGGTCCTCTTTTCTCACTTGGGATCCTCGGTGACATATTTTGAGTGCCAATCCAATGCCACCTCTAATATTACGCCAAGTGTCCTGTTATTATTTGTACTTTAATTTTTTAATAATTCAAATTGGTTTGATTTAACACAAATTTTCTCTACTCTCTAAAACTTTGAACCAAAATTAACCGACCGGTCTAATTCAAATATCATCACTTTTGAGTTAACAACTCACGATCTGGGGAAAAAGAAAAAGAAAACCTAAGCGATTGAGCCCCCAGATTTTGATGCTATGGCAGTCATTTCTACAGGTAAAATACCATATCCAGTTTTTCAACTTCTGTGGGTCAAGCTAATTCTGGGATTCTTTGCTGCTATTTCTCTGATAATTAAACAGCCCTCTGAAGAGCTCATGTCCAAGCCACCGAGGGATCGGGACGAACCATTGATGAATGATGTTATGCAAAGAAGCATAAGTGCACAGGCGATATATCATATTGCAGTATTGCTGGCCATCCATTTTAAAGGCCAATTAATTCTGAAAGTTAATGTGAATGAGAAGAATACTCTTATCTTCACGACCTATGTTCTGTGCCAAGTTTCCACAGTGGTCAATGCCAGGCTTTTTGAAGAGAAGAAAATTTTTCAGGAGATGCACAACAAGAAATGCTTCTGGGGAATCATAGGCTTCATCGTTCTCCTCCAAGGAATGTTGGTAGAAGTTTTGAAGAACCTTGCATCGTTCTCCTCCAAGGGGCTTAATTTCCCCCTTTCCAATGTAATTTTGGCTTTGCCCTTCTACTTGAGTTTTAATCGCTTATTTGGCTCAATCCCTCCAATTCTTGAAGTTCTAGACGTCCGAAACAACTCACTCTCTGGAAATGTTCCACGGTATCCCTGCCAGTGGAGGGCTTATTGAGGACGTCCTTGGTGCCTTTGACGGTGAGGCAATTGGCAGTGGAGATGATGCCACGCGGAATGGCGGAGCTGGTGGAGGAATCTGCTGGAGAACGTCATTGAAGTGTGGACCTCATCTGAGTGGAGATGATACACAAGCTTCCAGGGACTTTGTCTCTTTTTGGCTTTGTTCAAAGCAATCACCGATGAAAGACTTTGGTGGCTCAATCGCTTAGGTTTTCTTTTTCTTTTTTCCCGGATCGTGAGTGGTTAACTCAAAAGTGATGGTATTTGAATTAGACCGGCTGTTTAATTTTGGTTCAAAGTTTTAGAGGGTAGAGAAAATTTGTGTTAAATCAAATTAATTTAAATTATTAAAAAATTAAAGTATAAATAATAACAGAACACTTGGCGCAATATTAGAGGTGGCATTGGATTGGCACTCAAAATATGTCACCGAGGATCCCAAGTGCTCTTTTCTAGGAAATGGATTGCATGAAAGAGAGCTCTGAACTGGTGGAAAATAGCTGTAATTCTTCTAGAGAAACATAAATCCTCAGCATTCCAACAAAAAAAAAAAAAAAATCCCTAATAACACATTTTTCTTATTCCTTGTTCTTTCGAAAACATGTACTGAATTTGAATTTCATGAACATTATGCAAAACCATACTGATTTGAGTTGGAGACCTAGGTGTTAATCTTCCCACCTGCAAAACCATCTTTTGGTCCCATAAAAGCTCATAAGAATACGATGGACTGATGATCAGGATAAAATTCATTACTCATAATACACCATTCTATAACTGATGTTGCTGCCAAATCATACATGCAAGTACAAAAATAGTGTCCTAGAAATTTCAGCTAAGATGTTGCTGCTAAAGAGATTTCTACACTGGGGAAGTATTCTCTGTTTGTATTTCTATGGCTTTTGGATAAAGAGTGCAAGGGTCTTCCACTATCAGCCAAATTTTGTAGGAAAACAAGAATCTAACAGAAGGAAAGAAAAACACAACACGCAACATATATTTCTAACTGATACAGATCTGTACATCTGAAGATGATGCATCCCCCATTCTTGTTGCACAATGAATGAAACTACCATGGCTTCCTAGCACCAAGAGGTATTGTGTTGGATCCAGAGATACCTCTGTTGCCAAAACCCCCACGTCCTCTGGAGCGAAAGTTGTTTCCTGAAGATGCAAACAGAGTAACATCCATAAAGCATCTATTTATAGTTGATCGGTTTATCTAATTCTTATCCAAGAAACATAAATCATATACGCAATTTAAGTATCATTCACTATACCTCCCATAGTAGAACCAGTAGACCTGGCCATCGCAGACAAATCAGGAGGAATGATTTGGCCTGCATCCCGTAATATCTTGATTAGATCTCTGGCAAACTTGCCATTTGCATGAGTGAAAAAAGTGAAAGCAGTTCCTGTAGCTCCTGCACGACCAGTTCGGCCAATCCTATGAACGTAATCCTCAAGGCTTGATGGAAAATCATAGTTAACCACACATTTTATGTCCTTAACATCTGCAAGGGATGGAGATATATGTTAGATAAACAAATCAGTTGCTTGTAGAAAGCAAAGCAAGAAATAGCAGCCTTATCCCTGCAATTATAAGATCCAAACCATCTTATATAAGACAACACATCTCTTGCATAGTGTGCCCACCTTAACCTTGCAGGGATAAGGAGCAGCTTCACCACCACATTTTCCAAATACGACATCTATGGAAAAGCTTGTATGAGTCATCCGGGCTGTCACAAAAACCAGCTTCATAACTGTGGATGGGCAGCTATTTATATTCGACCATGTTACTTGGACACAATAAAAGGAGCCATAGCATTTTTTCTCAAAGCAAGGAGAGCAACTTAAAAGGTTTCCAGATCTCAGGAGAAGTTCTGCACTGGGACATCCTCCAGAAAGAGAGTGCCCTCAAGCCTACTGTGATACATCATCTTATCAATAACTAACTGGATATACGGCCACAACTTGGCACTACTAGAAGAGAAGATTACTAGGAGTATTGTAGGACATTCTCCTTTTCTCCTCACCACAATAACCCCAGTTAAGTAGCCAACTCACCATGTCTGTTTGGGCAGCACTAGCTCAAAAAAGGAAGAGTTTCTACCGAGGTTACCACTCATTCTTAGAATCACCTGTGCATAGAAACATGCAAACTATATTTACAGCAATAATCTACTCTTGATCCCATGAGAAGATAACGCGTGACCAAAGTTAAAAAAAATATTTGAGAACTATTCTAATCTTGAACCAAGTTTTGAAAATGTAATGCCCAGTGTCCATGTAACATAAGTAGGAACATTTTGGTGATACCAGAGGAGAGATTATGGATGTCATTCTTGCATCCTCTTCAGCAAAGAGGGCAATGTCCTCTGATACCCCACCCCAACCAAGCCACCATGTCTATCTTGGCAAAAGAATCTTAAACAGGATAGCAAAGTTGCTTATAGTGGTGCTCACACGAAGACATGGAGCTAACAAATATGCATCGGGTAGTCCAGCACTGAATTCCAATTAACAACCCTAACCCTGTAGCACCACCTCTTGCACCCAAACCACAAATTATATTCTCAGGAAAGTGGACAGCAGCCGGAGACTCACCTAGCATGTAAATTAAGAGCCTAAAAGACCTAAGTTTTAACACACAGTGATCCTACCAAGACCACGTGCAGCAACATCAGTGGCAATCATTATAGGATTTCTGCCACTTTTAAAATCAGCCAGGACCCAGTCCCTTTCATCCTGGCTTTTATCACCATGGATGGATAAGGCTGGCCATCCATCCATTCTCAATTGTCTTGTCACTTGATCACATCCTTTCTTTGTCTCCACAAATATAAGAATACGACTTCCGTCCATCACTTCTTTCAGCAGCCTAATCAGCCTGCAAGAACAAATCTAGTAAGCAATCAGATCTATTAAAGAACACACATCATTTCTCTTTTAGTGTCACCATAAAGCACCTAGTGTACTTCTCCACATCTGTCACTATTTCAATGATCTGCCGTATAGATTGATTTGCTTTCAGTTCTGCAGAACCAATGATCACCTGAAAAATGCAAGAAATAGCATCTTCACGAATCCATACATCTAAAATTTCAACAGATAAATCACCCATGAACACTGCAGATATCATGTTTCTAGATCACCATATACAGAAAGTAAGAACGGTAAAAGAAAGACCTTGTAAGGATTGCGCAAAAACTGCCTTGCTAAAGCTTCTACCTCCCTTGGCCATGTGGCACTCCAATACAAAGTTTGTCTATCTGGTCTAATCTGCATGACAAAAAACACCTCTGAATACGCAAACTACATTTCGACAAAAAACAAGAAAATGAAAGAAGAATCAAATGATTAATGCTAAAACATAAAATTAAAACAAAAGACGCTATCACAAAGAAGAAAATTGAACAACTAAAAAATATCACAAGCAATCAGCAATAAAATTTCAGAAAAAAAAGATAAGACTATCACACCAAGGCACCCCTTACCAGTTTCTTTAAAGAACAAGGGATGGGGGTTCATGTTCTCTACTCACATGTCAAGATGCAAAGATAGTGGGCATGCAGCAGCAGATCAATAGAATAAAATTTTGAATTAGCTTGTAAATAAAAAAAATCTCAATAATTGGTTGTGGGCTGACATAGGATAACATGTCTTATTACACATTAAACATTAATTCAGATAATCATTGGAGATTTTTAACTTAGACTAAGTGCTCAAGGACAACCAAACTGAAGGATGAATATAATCAAAAAAGACAAAAGGGGTAAAATTGCAGCTGCTAACTATTACTTTGACTCTTCATTTGACCCCAGAGTACCCATGTCGACACGACATGACACTGGTGCTGGTATGGGATATGTGTCCGACAAGCTGAAAAATTTGTGGATGTATTGACTTTTGTGCGATGTGATGTCAATGGAAGAGGAGACATGGATGAGAAAATTCATGGATGTAGAAGACTTGTTGCACTAGAATCCTCATTATTGAAATCCTTGTTGAGCTACGACTTGTTGGTTACCTTAGAATTCTCCAATCCTTGTTGCACTATGACTTGTATGTTGGCTGTACTATAATTCATATATTTACTAGATATTTTGTTGTACTCCACGTACCCGTGTCTGGGTCTTTTGAAGTGTCTTCGTATCTTAATTTTAGATAGTAGACGAATTAGACACTTAGACACATACCCAAATCCAACACATACCGGAGTCTGACTAACATAGGCTGCTAAAACTTTAATACTGAATTGTGAAAAATAATTGTAGAACTTCCAAACACGTTTAGTTTGGTACCCTTAGCAGCTGATAGAGTCTTGTTTAACGCGCACTGATTTCATGCAACATCATGGCAGCAGGAACCATTTTTTACCCATGGATAATGACTTTCTCTTCTGAACAAATGACAAATACAACTTAAGCACACAGTTAAAACTTAATTATTCGATATAATGCCTCCTGTGCTTTGCACTATATAGATAGCATGTGTAAAATATGACCTATTTCTTTCTCTGCCACATGAATTATTTAGGCAAGTCTTGCAGTAAAAATCTGTAAATCTAGCACTGCTCTTTAATGATTGAGCTATCTAGATTAGCTTTTCACCAAGCTCACCCTTACAAGATGTGCATAATTGTGAAAACAATGTCCTATCAGCATTTATTTTAAAAGTCACACTGTTACACTTGCAATTGCAATTCTATCTAACACTACACATCTGCAAAATTTTAACAAGTCAACTTCAACAATTCTAGAAACCAACTGAAAACAATGAACATTATTCAAATTTTAAATCAAAATATAATATTTGTGCATAAATAACCCACATGCAAAGTTATTGCTAATATCCAACGAAGAAACATCACAGCATAACTGCAACCCCTATATCCTGTTAAGCTCTTAATTTTCTCAAGGAAGCTTAGTCTACAATATTTCAAAGTTGATTACAAAATTTTAATTAATGTTATTAGTAGCAGGTCATCATATGCAAGATTTAGGTTTTCATCCAAATATTATAAGCCATGACATTATTAAAGCCTGAATATATTTTTAGTGGCTTGGATCTTTCCATACAACTTTACAAACCAAACCTAGCGATTTGAATCCACACAACCATTAAACTTTCTACCTACTAAAAGACCAACAGCAAAGCCTTGGACTATACCATAACCGTGATATCAGAAGAAGGCCTAAAATACTTGATAAAATCTTGCTTAAAATATACACAAGAACAAAGGTCAAAATAAATCCATGCAGCACACATCAACCTAAAAACAACTGATTGATATAACATTTTAAAAAGAGAAGCCCACAGCTTCCAAACCTGTGAAACAATTTTCCTAATTTGAGGCTCAAATCCCATATCAAGCATTCGATCAGCCTCATCTAGTACGAGGTAAGTTACTCTTTTCAAATTTGTATGTTGAGCCTCCAGCATATCTATCAATCTACCCGGAGTGGCAATAACAATTTCAACTCCTGTAACACATACATATAAATTTATCAGTGCACATTGGATCAAAAATTTGTTTACTCTTCAGACATTAACAAATTAATAAAGACACAATATTACCTCTTTTAAGATCACGGATTTGTGGTCCTTTTGGGGCACCACCATAGATGCAAGTACTTCTTATACGGGATCCAAATTTCATTGCTTCTTCTTGGATCTGAACAGCCAATTCTCTTGTAGGTGCTAGTACTAGCACAATGGGACCGTCTCCTTGTGCTACATTTTTTCCCATGGCAAGACTTTAAGGGGGGGAAAAAGGCAAAAGAAATGACCAAGAAAGTAAAGAGTTACCAGAACAAACCAGAAAATGTCACTTACCCAATCGCGGCTGCGCACTGACATGTACCAAAGCAGGCAACATATAAGCCAAAGTCTTCCCAGAACCAGTCTCAGCAATGCCTATAAGATCTCTACCTTTCAAGGCCATGGGCCAACCTTGAGACTGAATAGGTGTTGGCTCAACAAAACCTAATCTAGCAATCACCTCAAGGCAATAATCTAGCAAAGCAAAAAGCAAGAACCAATAATCTCAACATTATACAGACATGAAATCTTATATTCATCAAACAATCATTTAACTAAAGTACCAGGAAACAATCATTTAACTAAAATACCAGGAAAGTTTGCCTCATGAAACATCCTTATTGGCTTTGGAACATCATGGCCATCAACAGTCATCTCCCGTCTGGCACGATAAACTGCAACCTCTTGCTCGGTCATTGCCCTCACTGAAGGACTCTCAACATAAAAGTTCTTCTCAAAAGGAACCAAGTTCCCAAATTCTTGCTTTGGAAGAGCAAGATTATCTAGGTCATCTCTTGGCCTACTACCATGTCTACCACCTCTTCCACTACTACCACCACCCCGTCCTCCATCAAAACCACCCCTTCCTCCCCCATGCCCACCTCGAAAACCCATTCCACCACCCCTCCCAGCATCGGAACCACCCCTTCCACTGCCACCACTCCTACCTCCACTACGTCCCGAATCAAACCCCCTAGCTCTAAAATCACCCCTTCTATCTCCTAAACCACCATAGCCACCACCACTGCCGACCCCTCTACCACCATCCACCACAGGTGGCGGTGCCCCCATAGGCCCACCATACCGAGGAGGAGGCCCACCACGGTCATAACTCGGGCCTAAACCTCCACTACCCATCATAGGCGGTGGAACAATTGGAGGCGCTGCCCCCATAATATCACTAAAATTCGTAAAACAAACAAAAACCCATTAAAACACTGAAGCATCACATCAAGAAATAAAGCAAAAATGAATCCATACACACAAAATTTTAGGTGGATTAATACTAGGAACAAAAAACTTAATAGAACTACATAAATGAACACCCAAAAAAAAAAAAAGAGAGGAGAGGGTTTGAAGTACTACCTGCGACGGTTACGATAAGAGCCAGCATCAGTATATCTGGAATCGTAAGGATTAAACATGATTTAATTGCTGAGACAGAGAATTGTTAGGGTCAGGATTTAGGGTTTGGATTTGCAGGTATTTGAAAGAGGGAATGGGAGGTAAAAGAAAAAAATTTTATCTTCCGTTATTGACTTCTCTGCATTTATAGCTTCTGTTTTCTTTTTTTTTTTCTTTTTTTTTTTAAATTGAAAAGGTTGTGTAATTAACTGATTATTGCGATTTACTCCCCTGAAGTGAAAGAGTGTCACGTAATATACCACCAGCAATTTGTGGTAGGACATATGAAATTTATGGGAAATAAATAAGGATTCATAGTTTCATATTTGATCCTAGTATCTATGGAAAATCATTAAGGAGCATAAAGTTACACTCTATTTATGTAACAACACATTAGTTATGAGTTATGACAAGTTATAAAATAAAATGTAATGTAGTGATTTTCTGACAAGTAACAAAATCCAAAAGATCGTTGGGATTGTATATTATTAAGAGTTCTTGTTAAAAAATATACTGTATCGATTTTATAAGAAGTTGCTGCTCTTAGGAGTTTTGTAGCAATTTTATGACAAGTAATGAAATATGACAAGATACTATCCTTCAGTTTTTTAAAAATTAGTTTTTTAAATACTATAAACATTTTTAAAAAGTACTCTAAAAAGTAGTCTAATTTTTTTTAATATTTAAAAATATTCCAAAATATATCCTAAAAACTCTACTACTCTTAAATATTTCAAAATATATTCTAAAAATATCTCAAAACATACTCTAAAAACTCTGCTACAGTAAAATTTTTCAAAAATACCCCAAAAAACAGCTAATCCAACTAGAGCTAGTTTTGGACCAATTTTTAGGAATTTTATGGCGTGAGTATTTTTTTTTTATTTTTATGAGAGTGCCTAAGACGTCAATAATTGATAATTCCTCTCATGTTGCCATCTAATCCAACCATCTCCCAACATGTAAGTTGATTATTTGGAATTGTAATTATGCTAATCAAACGTGAAAGCAAGTGCAATTATGAATAAAATTGCACGAAATAATTATTTAATGCTACTTGCCATACTTAGACGTTTCGAATAGGCATAACTTTGAAGGGGGCAATCTTGCATAGTTTTCCTACTTCATTGTTTTTCTTTTTCTTCTTTTTGGCTCTTGACTAATTATTTGAAAAAATGCTAGATTACCGATAGAAAAAGAATGCAATGCATCATACGCTATTTTCATCTAGTCTCCTAATCTTTAGTCAAAAACAAAGCGCGTGGCTTACCGGTTCATTAATTAGACTTTGTCATAGGTCAAAAGTTATTGGACAATGCAGGTCAGAAATCATCAGGCAACAATTAATGTCTGTGAGTTTGGATGGAGGAAGCAAAATGAGGGAAAATTTGAAAGAGTCAACAAAATAAGGGAAAATTTGAAAAGGTCATAGTAAAATTTTCATCTATATGGAAGGATAAAAATGACGGAGCTTACTCTTTAATTTAAACATAGGGTTAAATGATGAATTAATTTACTCGATACTCAAATTAAGTTTAGTTTGATAAGAGTTCGTTCGATTTTAATTCGTCAGTCAACAGTGAAAACAAGTTTGAATAGTATTTATGTTTGCTAACTTTAAAATTCAATAATAAAAAAAAAAGCTTATTCAAATTCAATTTGACATATAAACAAGTCGAATTTGAATAAAAGTTTAAATTCATTAAAATAATCAAATAAATTTGAATATTAGTATGTTTGGCTTGATTTGGTCTATTTATACCTTTATTTGAAGAAGCATGAAAAGTATATAACAAACTCCATATTTACCATAGAGGTATGCTCCTGTAAATCCAATTTGAGCTAATTTAGTTGTCTTGTGACTCTTAGCAAAGTAGAATTTTAATGCTTCACCACCAATTTTTGGATATCCATGGAACTTCTTACTGGTTTGTAACATCCTGTTTTTAGAGCAAAATAAATGGCACAGATTTCTATAGACCATTCAATAAGATTTATGACTAGTGAAAAGAGAACATATTCAAACCACCAGCTTTTGGATTGGTGGCCACCGCCAAGCCCTTAAGACTTTGGTGGGGTGGACCTTGCCTCCCACCAAAATGCCACTCTTGTGGCTCTGCTTCAAATCCAGACGGGTGCATAGTGCACCCGTCTGGTCCGGTGGTGGTTCTGTCCCCATCGATTCTCATAGGCTCAGTTGAGCCTCTCCCGTAGATAGAGTAGGAGTAGGAGTAGGGGTGACAATTGATAAAAAAAAAAAAGAAAAAAAAGAAAAGAGAACACCTTCAACATTTTCACCATATCAATTTATCATTTGAGGGAACAAGATAATTTCTATCTACAAATCGCAATTCCACATCCTCTATAGAGTCTCGGTCTAAAAGCGTAGCATTGCTATAATCAAGGCTTAATTTTCTTGATACCCTGCAAGAAAACAACTCCATAGAGATCAACTTTCAGTCGAACTTTCCTGAAAAGCAAATACAGTCGAAGAAGTTCCTTTCAGAGTTATGAGTTGTTTCTGGCCTTTGATCACCTGACACCAGATTGGAAGGAATACTCTCTGGTGGATGCAGCTGGCCATTTATGATTCTTCTGCCATTGTAAACAATGGTTACCTCACAGCATTCTGGTGCATTCTTTTGAACATATTCTCCTTTTCCTTGCCCTTTCATCAGCTGCCTAAAATGAAGCAAAAGACGCATGAGTTTCCTGTTTTTTTGGGATCCTATTTGCAGTGCACATGTCAAAGGATATGAGCTGAAAATTATGAACCTAAAGGTGTTTGAAACCCAAGTTTTGACTGGGTAGTAATTGCTTGACTTATTGAAAGATTAATGTGGATAAAACTGTAGTAAAAATAGACCTGATGCATGAAAAGAACTCATATAGCCTCAAACATTCATTATTCCTGAAACCAGCAGGGAGAGGATTATATGACGTGCAGCTACTCATGTTGAGTTTAGCACCGGAAAAAGATTAATGCAAGTTTCCTTGTGTTCAAGGCCAGAAGGGAGGTGATATCAGTTTGATCTTCGAAACATTTCCTGTGATCTGCTTCTATTGTACGTCAACTAGGCGACTAGAAATGAAGCAAAAGCAGTATGCATAAAAGGTTATCCAGGTGGAAGCTTTACCTTGTAAAAGGAGACCTTTTAGTCCCCATGACTAGATTGGTAATGTTGACGACTGGAATTAGGCCTAGGATTGCTTTTGCAGTTGCATTGCTCTCCAAGAGCATTGTGTCCACCGGAACCTATAAGCCGACATTTGAAGTAGTCAATTTACTGATGCAGCTAATCTTTGTACAATGATGACCAAGTTTCTGCACATGGATTGTTACTCACTTTGGCATCATTACACATGCGAATGTACTTCTCCAAAAGATACTTCCTCCTGTTTTGGTCTTCATTCAGATAGACTCTTAACTGATCTTGGCTCAATTGGCTTCTTGAAAGCCTTCCAACTATCAAGAAAAACCCCAATTAATAAAAATTGTCAGCACTCGACGTCTCGACATGTATTTCAAATACTTAATGCTACAAAAACACCTCGCAAGGATAAGGGACAAGTATGAAATGGAAATGTTAATTCGGCACTGGAAATAATAGCTTCCACTTACAGTTTCTAATTAGCTAAAGATGTGGAGCCCTATGTCATCAGTTTTTGCCTTGGATCAATTATTAAGTAACACCATACTTTTGTCTCAGAAAAATGCCTATTCTTGTTATAACATCAACTTCCAGGACTTTTTTAGTTTAGTTGCTCCATCAAGAGTTCATAGACATGGTAGAGACCACAAAGGAGTAAATTTCTGAAACTGTCATTCTCCTGCTCAAGAAGAAAGAGATCCTTGTTCAAGCTTCCAGTTTGTCTTTTTCTTTTTTAAACTCCCAAGAAGAAAGTTCAGAATATAGAGAAACAGTGGCAGAAAGTAATGATCATGTGAGTTCTGCATATAAATAATTCATGCTGTTAATCATGATATGTTTGATGTACATAACTAGCCCACAACTTCTAATACAAGGTTAATGCTGAAATACAACAGATAGCAAAGTTTGCAAAATCTTTTCAAAGTACCTGGTGTATTGATATAGGTAATAGGAGGGAAGACATGCACAAGAAAGAGTCTAGTTCCTGGGGAAACAGCATTATCAAGCACCCATTGAACCACATGCAAGTCATCTTTGCCAACAGCAACATAAACATCATTTGTTTGTCCATTTCTGCTGCTCAGGATGCTCTTGCTTTCGTCTGGAATCTCCACAATTTCTGGGGATTTCACTTGCCAATGATGATACTGTTGTTCTTCTCGATCCACTTGATTGTCTTCTTCCATCTCCGTTTTCATATCTATCTTCTAATAGCTACTAAAGAAAATGAATGGTGAAAAAATGAGGGATCATCAAAAGTGGGAAGAGATAGAATTATTAAAGGTGGATCATACAATTGGCAATGTATAATTAAAAGAGTCGTTGCTTTCAAAGCTGGTCAAGAAAGTTGAAAGATAAATTCTATTTTGCCAGCATTTATGTCGTATTCATGACACCTTTTGCCTTTGGTCTTTCAGAAGAAATTTTCTTTCTTTTTTCCTTCAATTTCTTCCTGCCTTTCATCTTCTCTCTTTTTGATGGACTTTTATCGGATGTGAACCTCATAGTGCATGTCCACTCATATCTGATAGTCTCATGACAATAAGGCTCTCAGTAGACTTTACATTAGACAGCAGCACCTGAAAGCTAAACACAAGCATTAGACCAAAGCTCATTAAATTGCAGGAAGGGATCACGTAATTGAGCTTGTATTTACTTCAGACCACTGCGGATCACCCTCCTCCCCCCCCAAAAAAAAAAAAAAAAAAAACAAAAAACAAGATTTGACACATCCCTTTTTATCCCCTTAAACTGTTAAAGAGTTTTCAGTTACATTCTTATTAAAATTCGAGCTGGCTGCCCCAAGTTTTAGAAATATCTAAAGGTAACTCCCAATCTCTGATTCCACTAGTGCTTCAGACCCAAAACTGTTGACAATCTGACAAAACCTAAAATGAACTTGGATAAATGAAGCTGATACCTGTCCATAGTTCCTAAAGTCTTTGATTGAAATCATGTAATATTTAGTAGTTGATT